GATCTTATATTGAAAAGGCGATCAAAATAGTTCCAAATTACATAGACGTTTGCGATTACACATAGATATATAGCGAGTATTAGGGGTGTACAAATGAAACCGACAAATCGCACCAACCCGATAATCCGAGTCAAATTGAGAAAAAAAATTCGACTATGGTTTGGTTTGATTGGTTTGGTGTTGGAAAAAAAAATCCGACGATATTTGGTTTGGTTTGGTTTTAACTAAAAAAAGTCAAACCGAAACCAAACCAACCCGACATTATATGTATAGAAGTTTTAAATATATTTAATACATGAAAATATTTATTGTAGTGTAGTTTATAAATATTTCTTAAGCATTTTCATAATTTTATCTTTTAACGTATTATTTCAAGCTTGTACTTATAATTTTTGGATGCTCCAATAAGTTTTATAATACATAAATGTTAGTAACTCAAATAAATCCTAAACCAAAATCAAATCAATACTAATGATAGTAAAAGACATTCAATTCAATTGTACTATGAATGAAAATAGTGTTGGATATATATTTTTTAGTTTTTTCATGGTGTAGATAAAATTCATAACTTATTTTTCTTTTAGTGTTTAGTCATATAAATAATAGTACATATTAGTCGTACTTATTTTAGCAACTTATTAGTAATTTTAAATTATGTTCGTTTTCATTATGGCTTATTAATAATATTTATTTTATGCGATTTTCTCGATCTTTATTGTTGAATATTTTAGTACAATGCCATGATTCATCTCATATTTATGTTATTTTATTAAAAAATACCTTATATAGTTTTGCCTTACTAGGATTAAAAAAATATTTGGAGCACAAATTCTATATTTTGTGCTATGAAAATTTTATGGAAAAAAAAAACCGAAACCACCCAAAAACCCGAAAAATTCGAGAAAAATTGAGAATTAAAAATCTGACTTTTATTGGTTTGGTTTGGTCTTTAGATTTAATAGCCCGATATAATTGATTCGATTTGGTAATTAAAAAATCCGAACCAACCCGACCTATGTACATCTCTAACGAGTATGATTGGAAAAATAGATCTTATAATATGTTAAAATTACCTAGAGTTTTGGGGGCCATGGACCCCTCGAGCCATGGGATATATAGCTCCACTATTGTAATCCACAAGGAGTATCTGTTATACTATCATTATTTCTTCCATTATTGTATTCATGAATACAACTCGCGAATACTTATGAATACAGTCTATGTTTAGCTGGACTTTCTTGTTTTTCGCCGAATTTTGTTATTGTATTCATGAATATATTAGCTTGAATACATCGAATATACTCTATAATAAGTGAAAACATAGCTATAGGAAGTAATTAAGTAAATGGTAGCTATAGCATTTTGAAAAGTTCTCTAAAATTTAACCTCTCAATTATTAGAATAGCATTTCTTATATTTATAAATACTCTGTAAAAAGACCATATAATAATTAATAAGCGAGAGAGTGAGAGAGAGTGTGTGATGCTTGACTTGGAGTTTTGGACAAATCGATTGAAGTGTTCATTTGAAAGGACGGTTTGAAATTATATACTACTGTTACCCGGTTAGTACAGTGAATTTATTCTTAACAAGTAATAAACTTAGGTGTAATTGCTTACGTGTAGCCAGATTGAATTTTAAGACACTCATCAAACACAGCTGTATTTGACTTGCTCATGACTAATTTTTTGACTGCAGCTCCCCCACCTTACCCAAGGAAAGGTTTAAAATTAAAAATCAAATTTGCATATGATTCTTTGCTCTTAAAAAGAAAATGTGGATAAAGCATTTTTCAATATATACTTTCTAGTGTACAATAATAAGGACCTCATCCTCTACAAATGTACTTGGACGAGCGCAAAACACAATACAAAATTGTTGCTCGCTAGCCAAAGATAATATAGTTTAATTATCGTCTCTGCATGGATTGGATTTAAACAATGCTCAAGTAATTTCTAGCTTAACGTTATTCAGGATGATTAATACTTTGGTTGAGATGATTAATAACTAAAATTAACTATGAAACTAAAACAATTAACAATTGATCATAGAAAGACAAGAATTGAGCAACACCGAAATATCAATGGGAGAAATAAGTGTCATGACAGGATAGGTGCAAGATAGCTATTTGGGATCTATCTCTAGTTCAATTCACTCTAAAGTTCTAATGATTCTCACGAATTCACTCGATAATTAGTTCAAACGTATAGTCAAGACTTCCCTCTCGATTAAATCTTAACTCTACGAGATGAACTAATATAAGCATTGTGAACATATGCAAGCATGCGTTAATGGATTAGTATTCAGGAAATCGTCTCTCGAATATTCTCCTAACTTGATTTAATCAATAATTCAACAAGGTCTCTCGATTACTTAAAAGAATCACTGAATTAAACCAAACAAAATAATGCAAAGATAATCACCAAAATATTCCTATTTCGATTAAATAAACTGGTGAATAAAGTTGCAATCAATTCAAAGCTTCATAAACGAATTCAAGCAAAGAACTAGAGTTAAAATTCACAAATATCAATCAAAACACCATATCCGTCAAACCCTAAGGTAAACTACTCCATATTCATGGAGAAATTCATCACAAATAAAGTTGAATAACAAGAAAACATGAATTCAATCCAAACTCGGGTGTTGAGTTGAGGATAGAATGATGAATCCTTGTATTTTGAGTCTCTAATGCTCTTCCAATCTTCCGTAGGTCAAAAGTCCCTTGAAAAAAATGTGTTTTCAGTATATTTATAATAAGTAGGAACGAACCCGGACGAAATTACCCTCTTTGAGCCGAAGTGGAAAAACCTGCAAATATTTTACACTTCATGCGTCGCACAGTGTTACGCAGGGTGAGTCGCATTAGTGCATTTTGCTCGGTTGTAAACTCTCTAAACTTAGCTTATCTGACAAACTCTTGTACTAATGCGTCGCACTATGCCACGCGCTATGCGTCACACTAGTGTATTTTTCTATCAGACCCAAAAATTATAAGTCTCTGAACTTCTCAAATTTCTGACGAACTTTTATACTAATGCGTCGCTCCATGCCACGCCTTATGCGACGCATTAGTACATTTTGCTCTATCCCTTGCGCTTTTTTTAACTTTCGTATGCAACGCCGGTCCACGAGTCACGGACGCGATCCCAATTTAATTCCTTGGGCTTTTACTCAGACTTGGAAGCTCCAAATTATTCGATTTAGCTCCAGAACATCTTCTTAACTCGGAATCATTTCCTACAAAGTATAAAACACGTAATAAATGCAAATCACCATCATTTAAGCTCGAGCACGTCTCAAAGTACAGTAATTAGAGTGCAAAATACAGCTAAAATACGTATTTCTAGCCCATCATCAGTATGTGTACACAAATCACAATATCTTTCTTTTCAATTGCACGAAAATGTTTGAGAGCATGATATCCACTACTAACCTATATCTTATTGTTACCTCGTAGTTAGTTTTAATTTAATAGCCCTGCACATCTCATTTTTATACGAGATAATACAATATATAAGCGAATAAATATTAGAGTTAGATAACATAATATAATCATTGTTAATATACAGGGTAACATTATCAAGGAAGGGAGACATTAATGATGATCAATGCCTTCCTTTTTGAATCAAGCATTTGATTTCCCCCCTTCTTGAAGGCAAGGGAACATCAATAATCATGAAATATGGTTACCAATGCATGTTCATCATTTACATATCAGCCATTTGTTTCTGACCTCTTCAAACTAAAGATTAATAAGAATAATTTTTTAAAACAAAAAAGTAAGAACTATATATACGTTTCCACGGTACTCATGAATATTCTTCAAGTAGAACTAGAAAAATATTTTGATTTATAAATAGTGATATTTCTTTAGGACTTCTTGGGGTGCAATTCAAGTATATTAGTACAAGCATGACTCATGTTTTACACTTAAATAGGTAGTACTCTATACTAGTAAATGATGAGTCACTTGCTTGGAAACTTTGGAGACAAACTATATAGGTGGAGGTGGTGTCGCAAAAAGACATAAACTTTTATGCTTTCCAAAGACCAACTTTTTCATAAGGACTATCTTACTATTTGAAACTTATAAAGCAAGGTTTCAAAGAAGAAAAAAGATGAAACGTCAAAAAAAGGTTCTATCAAGTTTCTCATGCAAATATGTAATTATTAATACCCGTCCGGTCTATAATAAGTAATTTTTTAGTCTTTGGTACATCTCTTAAGAAAATACAAACTCCTAAGGAAAAAAAGATGTATTCACTAAATTACCCTTAATTAATTGTTACCTTGCTACGTTAGGATATGTAAATAAGAGCAAGTTTTAAAAAAATAAAATTAATTCCTTCTTGATTATATAAAAGGACACTTATTTTGAACCAAAATAAAAAAGTTAAAAGGTCACTTATTATGGACCATGTAATGCTTGGCCTATAAGTTAGAAAAATTGCTTTATGAAAATTAAAAGTTGTCTGCATCCTTTTTCTAAACATTTTCTTTTGCTTTCTGAGGTGAGTGATGTTGTTAAAGTCGACTCGTCATTCGTTCCTGACTGTTTCTGCATACATTTAGACCAAAAAACTATTTCAATAGAGTACTCGTCCTAACTTGCACTATCTCTCTTAATTCCCTACTCCTGCACCAATTTTTATGGAGGCCAAAGAGCATGAAATATAAAAACTCAACAGTATCGATTTATAACGAAAATATGAATAAAAATATGTGAAATGTAAAAAAAAAAAAAGAAGGTATTTAATAGTATGTGTATATATATTTCGTGATTTACAATTAATTTTATTAATGAATGTAAGAATTTAGAATAAAATTTATTTTTTTTTAAAAAAAATGATCATCTCTAGAAAAAAAGTTGGTTGAGGAGAGGGTCTAAAGTTGTGTTACGCTCCCTTTATTATTATTTTTAGTGTCAAAGCTGATCTATATCCTCTGCATTAATCGCGCTTATTCTCACAGATGTCTATGAATTTTAAACGCTTTTCTCTAATTCTTTCTTTCTATTTTTTTTTGGCTTTCTTTCTTTGCAATTTTAGAAATTCTACTCACTCAAAAATTGTCAACAAATTGTTGAGTCCCTCTTTCTTTGGCTTCCCCTTCCTAACTTATCAAGAAAAAGGTATAATTTCAACCCCTATTTTCCGCCAAAATTATCATTTTTCTCTTTTTTGTGAATTTTAAACAGCTCTTGAATCTATTATTCGAAGATTGACGTTTTCTATTAAAGATGATTAGAATCCAAATGTTAATGATTCCCGAATTCTTCAATTGCCTGAAAATTTTGTTGTGTTTTGCTTCTTCACGTAATGTTTGAACAATACAATAGTTTCACAACCCAACGCCCGAACTCATCAATATTCAATTCTAATAGGAATTTTCACTTTCTTTTTTCTCCCATGAGGTGAAAAAACATACGTAAATGCGATATGTCTAAGGTTTTCTTTGTTTTTTCTTTGTCATTCCACTTGAATTCTGTTTCTGAATAATGGCAATGGTGATTGGGATGTATAGCTTTAGGAAGTATGGATTTAATATCAGTTTTTCATAAGGACATTATAGAGCATCTTATTCTTGTTGAAAGGAAAAAAAGTTTTCTTCTCCTTGATTCTCGTAGGATTACTTCTGGAATATTGGTGGCATCATACGTTTCCCTTTCGTATTTGTATAATGGGTGAGGGTGTCATAACTTATTTATATTATTGAACTTAGGTTTATAGATAGGAATTATGATTTTGTATTCCATTGATTTACCAATTAAAAGAATGTTTCTCCTGTTAAGTACTATGTAGAGCTTCTCTTTATAGTTAGGAGTACTAACTTTCTCCTTTTAAAAGAAATATATTGGGTTCAGATCATAGTATTAATAGTTTGAAAAAAGTTTTCCAGTTTGTCAATGACATGCATGCGGAGTAGAATTTTCTTTTTTCTATTTGCCATAAGTAAAGTGGCATAGATTTTTCTAAATTTTGGGGAAGAAATCTTTTTGGATGCATCAGTTCTTTAGTTTCAATATCATGATTTCCAGCCATATTTTGACAAGTAAAATAATATAATACGGATTGAGTCCAGTTCCTAATTGTCCAAATTTCCCTGTTAGGCTCAACGATCATATTGTATCAACTATTACCAAGTTTTGTTGGACACATTTCCCACCAAGCAAGATATATTCTGTTAAATTTACTGAATTGTGTGGTAAAAAATGGTGCTAGATTTATAATCAATCTCTAATTTGGAAGTATTAAATAGGTGACAGGAGTACCAGAGCAGTTTGAGGAACAGTCAGATGGAGGGAGAAATGCAAGCCAGTTTGAGGAACAGTCAGATGGAGGGAGAAATGCAAGCCACAGAATAAGTAGGAGTTATTTGTTTTCGCCCTTGTACAGTGTTCTTCCCTTATACTATTGTCATATTAGTGCACTTGCAATTTTTAGTAGCAGTTTTCTCAATGGTATTTTGTTTCCCATCAGGATGCCATACTTGTGAGGTTGAGGTTTCAATCAAAGGTCTCTGCTTATTATCAGTTTTCTGTCGGTAAGTGCTTTTGTTAAACAGTTCTGGAAACATAGTGAAAACAAGCATGTGAGATGCTGTCCTAAACCATCTCTGTCTTTCATAATATATCTGCAGAGGTGCTAGTTTCATTGCTCTAGCTCAAAATGGGTGAGATGGTTGTTGGCATACCTGCACGTCTGGAGAAAATTGAGCGTGAAGTTGGCTTTTCGAGAAGGAACTCAACTGGCAGCTTAGGTATTCAAATTGCTAAATCCAAGGTCTTCTCCCGTTATCTGAGTGATCCAAAAGGTTCTTGCCATGACGCTTGCAAAGGCGTGGAACGTGATCTTCAAGAAACAAAAGCAAGGACTTCCCTGCTGAGAAGATCTACTATAGCAGCATCAGAAAAAACCCAAGAGCTGCCTACAACTGTGAAGTTGCAGATAAGGAAGAAACCACTAAGATCAAGTAAGCTAGCTGTAAATTTCAATAGGCGTACAACTGGTAAAGCCCAGAGACAGGAGAACCCATCATACACCAAAAGATTAGCTGTTTCTGTAAATCAACGAAATGATTTGAAGTTGAAGCCTTCGCAAGAAAATGATTACTCTATGTCAAGAAGCTATAAGCTGAGGAGAAGAGGATACAGTGACATTGTCATACCAGGGGGGTCACCATTTGCTCGGGATTCTCCGTTGAATGGTGCAACCAGCATACCAAACAAAGGAAGCCGGATGGACAAGAACACTGGATCTTCTAAGTTGAGCAACAAGAAGGTTGTTGGGAAACCTGCAAACTTGGAGAAAATTGAGAATGAAGTCGGGTATTTGAGAAGGAACTCAACTGGAAACTTAGGTAATGAAATGGGTGACTCCAAGGTCTTGTCACGTCATGTAAGTGTTCCAACAGGTTCTAGGCTTGATGCTAGCAAAGATGGCGTGGAATGCAACTTTAAAACAATGGCAAGGACTCACATGTCCACAAGATCTTTAACATCAGGAGAAAATTCAAAACTGGCTACAACTGTGAAGTGGCAGATATGGAGAACAACTAAATTACCGGCAAATCTCAAAAGGCTGACAACTTCCCACGAAGAGGAAATGCAAGCATGCACCAAAACATTGGCTGTTTCTGCAAGTCATCGAAGTGATTCGAAGCTGCAGCCTCTGGAAGAAAATGCTTATTCGGTGTCAAGAAGCAACAAAAGCAGAAGAAGATACAGTGACGTTCTTATAACAGGGGGTTCGGCAATTCTTCAGGGGTCTCTATTGGATGATGCAGCCAGCAAACCAAACACAGGAAGCAAGATGGATAAGGACAGTGGATCTCATGAGTTCAGCAAGAAAAAGGATGTTGGCATTCCTGCAAACCTGGACAAAATTGAGCCTGAAGTCAGCTATTTGAGAAGGAACTCAACTGGAAGCTTAAGTATTGAAATAGGTGAATCCAAGATCTTGCCATGTTTACTCAGTGTTCCAACAGGTTCTCGCCAAGAAGCTTGCAAATACGCAGTAGAAAGTGATCTTAAAACAAAGACGAGGACTCTCCAGCCCACAAGACCTGTAACAACATCAGGAGAAGTCCCAGAAATGGCTACAACTGTGATGTTGCAGATAGGGAAGAAACCATTAAGCTCAAGTAAGCTACCAAAATTCAAGAGCCGGACAACTTTTCGAGCCCAGGGACAGGAAATACCAGCATCCACAACTATTTCCCACTCTACAAGATTTTCTGTGAAGAGGGTATCAGGCAAAAAGCCAAATAATGATTCCCCAAGAATAGTATCTCAACGTAATAAGCGGACTAGCCTTCCAAGCAAAACGGACAAAGTGAGTCATGAAGATGATCCAACCAAGGTATCTCAACTTAATAATTTGACTAGCCTTGCACGAATGAAGATAGAGCAACCAAGTAATGAAAACTTCCCAAACAAGGCATCTCAACTTAGAAAATGGGCTAGTCTTAAACGAGGTAAGATGGAGCAAGGAAGTCATGGAAGTGTTCCAAAGGAGACATTGCACATCAGAGAATCAAAGACTAAAAGCCAGACCATAAAGCTCTCCCAGGAAACTCGAATGGCCAGAGTCTCCTCCTTTGATAGACATGGCCCAGAAAGAGGGAAGAGGCCTTCACCCCTTCTCTACCCATCCTCCTCTCTACACTCGGATGACAGTATCACCAGAAACCTTGGCAACAGGAAATCTTCACTACATGGCCCAAAAAGAGGGAAGAGACCGTCACCCCTTCTCTCCCCATCCCCTTCTCTGCACTCGGATGGCAGTAGCTGCAGAAACCTTGGCAATAAGAAATATTCCCTATCATCAATTTCTGCATGCGAGTCTTTTGATGGCGATGCAACGGTCAGCAATTCCAGGAAAAGTGGAACCACAAGCCAAAGCCAAGATATAAAAGCTGCAAGAACTGCAATTTGCAGTCCTAAAAACCTCAAGTTCAGGAGAGGAAAAATAATCGATTTTCAGTCTGAGAAAGTCAGTCCAAGGAGACTAAAATTCAGGCCAGTCAAAATACTAGATTACAACGAAAATGGAAGTGCTTATGCTAGCGGAAGAAGCTCTCGGAGACTCATTGCTAATGGAAAGTCAAATGCTGCTAAAGATGAAAATATGAAAGTTAATCTTCGACACCAAGCTAGAGGAAACAAAAGAGAGGCTCCAATATTGTTCAACAATGTGATCGAAGAGACTGCAACCAAACTTGTCGAGACCAGGAGAAGCAAGGTCAAGGCTTTGGTGGGTGCTTTTGAAACCATAATCTCCCTTCAGGATCCAAGATCCTCGCCACCAATTATTTGGAGATGATAACTACGTGCTTTGACAGAAGGAACCTGTATATATTAATAGCTAAATCGAGTTACGTAACTGAAGCAGTAGGTGCAGGATTTCAAGCACCATTCTGTCTGATTATATATACTTTCTAATTGATTCTATATACTTTGTAAATGTCATTGCGACTATCACTTTAGGTAGCAGGAGGAATATATCACTCAAAGTTGATTTAAAAGCCAGTTGATGAGTGCTTAAGACAGGCCAATAAGCTGGGGTCGGCGATATGAGTCATCACTGACCATGTTCCCCATTTGAGTTCATCTCAGTCGAGTTGGGTAAATTTATCTGAAGTTTCTACAATAGCTTTGTAAAGGGTGATATATTCTCATAGTTTGTGTGTAAATCAGAACAGGGTCAGGCCTCAAATTTTCATAAGGTAAACCTCCCATGGACAAAACAGTCCGAAAACAAATAGGCAAATGAAGCTCAATAACCTAGAAGAACATTAGGAAAATACTTAATTCTTCCTTAAACCAGCTTTAAGCCCTTTAAATATGTCATCTTCAGTGACAGGTCTAACCTGTTAGTATGAAAATTTGAAAGCTTTTAAACACATTAAAAATTCAGCAGGCACCTCCCATCTCTCAGCTTTTTGTTTCCTCTTTTGCTTAATTTTATTGCTTAGAACCTACAAAAATATATCTCTATAAACGGTATATCGAAGATTATTTCCTCTACCGTTTAGTTTTCATTATATAGGAAATATAGAACTGATTAGTATACAGGAGATCACATCGTTGCCCTAGTTGTTGTGATCAAAGTTTCCAAATTTCAACAAGAGCCACCCTTAGTTTTTAGTACTATCAAAGTTTTCAAATTTCGGATCTAAACTGTTCCACGACTTTCTCAGTTTCACTACTCACATTTTCTACTACTCCCAAACTTATGTGATTTCAAAAGAGATAGGGTTCCCGGGGGAGGAAGAAGACGAAGAGTCTTACCAGTTATGACGAGAGATCCCCACGTCTGCAACCAAGGAGCGATTGTCTGAAATTTGGGATACAAGATCTGGAGATTAAAAAAAGTTAAAATTGGAATATTCACTTTCAACCCCCTATAGTTTACCCTTACTAGTCGATAAATACATTTATAAAAAATATAACATAAATACTATATTAACTAAATACTTTGAGTTATAGAATAAGCTCATGAAGAAAGAGTGATAGCAGAAGTCATCAATTATCCTAGTCAATATTTTTAATTTAAAATTTATTCATTACTATATTTTACAAGTTGGGCGTTTTCATCAAGAGCACATAAACTCTCGAAGATTTAAGAGTTTTTCTTTATGAAATCTTTTTGAGAAGTATATATTCTTAAGTTCATTCTAGAAAACACACAAGATCATCTAACTGATAAAAGATCTTTTTTCTTTTTTCTTTTTTCGCAAGCAAAATGTGAATTATTAAATTTTTATAATTAATAAGAAATACTGTAAAAATTATAAAACAAAAAAAATTTGAGAATTTGGCCCAACAGGCTTATGTTCACTCAACGTTCACAATTACGAATACCAAAATAAAGATGTGTATTTGTTGAATACGTGAATGCAAAATTTAATCATTAAGATAAATACGTGAATGCAAAATTTAACTACTAATATAAATACGTGAATGCAAAATTTAACTACTAATATAAATACGTGAATGTAAAATTCAACTACTATAAAAAGTTTTTATTCAAAGAAGAACCTGAAAGTCCTTAATACAATTGTTGCTCAAATACGGCAAAGTTTTGATGATGAAAACGTAGAATTGTAGCTTCTTTTATATAAGGTTTTGGATATATAATTTGAAACATGAAGGGATTTATACAAAGTAAAATTATGTATAGTTTAATGGTTTATTAGAAAATAAAGACTCTTAAACCAAAAAGAAAATCAAATTGCTCCTTTTTACCTAATATTTTTCTGAAGAATTAATCTTTCAAAAGTTTATTAACTAAAAAAATTCCTACGATACTTTCTTGAAAGTGAATAAAATTTTCCTAAGTTAGTTGAAAGACAAAACTTTTGTAGTTTTAGTTGAATGACGAAAACTTTCCTACTTTTAGTTGCTTGAAATTTTAGATCTAAAAGAAATGGGGAATAATTAAATGATTGTTCCTAAATAGTAGGAAATTAATTAAATGATTATTTCTAAATATAGAGAAATAATTAAATGACTATTTTGTCTAGTGTTAACTCTATTGTAAAGGGGTACAAAAGACGAACAACATTTCACTAAGGGCCTTCGTGCTTTTAATATAGTACCAGCTTTAGTGTACGTGTGTTGCACATGTGCTTAGCGTCAATCAATAAAATATGTGTAATGACCTGACTTGTCGTTTTAAGAATTTACGTTCCGTTCAGTGACTTAAGGTTTCGAGCAGCCTCGCAATATGTATTATGACCCGCGTGTGTGGTCGAGTTTGAATTACGGATGATTCGGAGTGATTTGGGACACTTAGTTCATAAAAAGGGAGCTTAAGTCTTAGGATTTTGACTGTAGTCGGAACTGTATGAAGACGACTCCGGAATAGAGTTCTGTCGGTTTCGTTAGCTCCGTATGATGATTTTGGACTTAGGAACGTGTCCAAAAAATTATTTGGCAGTCCGTAGTGGAAGTAAGCTTGAAATGGCGAAACTCAAAATTTTGAAAAGTTTGACTGGGGGGTTGACTTTTTGATATCGGGGTCGGAATGTGATTCCGAGAGTTGGAACAGCTCCGTTATGTTATTTCGAACTTGCCTGCAAAATTTGACGTCATTCCGGGTTGGTTTGATAGGTTTCAGCACGAGTTTTAGAAGTTGGAAGTTTTTCAAGTTCATAAGTTCTATTTGTGGTGCGATTTATATTTTCGGCGTAATTTGATGTGATTTGAAATCTCGAGCGATTCAGTGATATGTTATGGGATTGGTTAGCATGATTGGACGGAACCCGATGGGCTCAGGTGTGTTTCGGAGTAGTTTTGGACCAAATTGGAGCTGTTTGGACTGTTGTTGCTGAAGTCTGGTTTCCTTCTTCGCGAACGCGAAGGAAGTCCCGCGTTCGCGAAGAGGAGTTTGAGGGGCTGATGATTTATCCTTCGCGAACGCGAAGCTGTGAACGCGAACGCGAAGAAGGAGCAGGGCAAGCATTCGCAAACGCGGCCCAGGCAACGCGAACGCGAAGAAGAAAAGGAAGATAGGGGCCTGGGGTCGTTTGGCCTTCGCGAACGCGAACGCGAAGGAGTTGGTCAGCTGGTCATCGCGAACGCGACGAGGACTTCGCGAACGCAAAGAGGAAATGATAAGGCAGAAGCAGTTGGCCTTCGCGAACGCGACGCTTGTCACGCGAACGCAAAGAAGGATTGGAGGCAACTGGATTTTTGGCCTTCGCGAACGCGAAGGAATAGTCACGAACGCGAAGAAGGTGTATCTAGGCAGAATTAAAAGTCCCAAAAACGGGGTTTTGAGTTCATAACTCAAGATCAAATTGGGAGCTCAGTAGAAGGCGATTTTTGGAGAGATTCTTGCGTGGGTGTTTGGGGTAAGTGATTCTTATCCAGTTTTGATTAATTTTCATGATTATGTCTTTGAATCCATCATTTAATTCGGATTTAATGGAAGAAAAATCAAGATTTTTGTAAAATCTTCCAAAAAACAAAATTTAAGATTTGAAGGTCGATTTGTTATTGGAATTCGATAAAATTGGTATGATTGAACTCGTATCGGAATGGGTGTTCGAATTTCATAAAAATTATGTCGGGTTCCGAGAGGCGGGTCCCGGGTTGACTTTTATTGACTTTTTGGAATAAATTTTTAAGTCAACGTATTATTATCCGGAATTATTTTTGATGAATTTTAATGAAGTTATATAATTAATTTGGATAGATTTGAACGGCCCGGAGGTCAATTCAAGCAAGAAGACGATTTTGGAATATCGACATAACTTCAAAGAGGTAAGTGTCTTGCTTAACCTCGAGTGGAGGAAATTCCCCTTAGGCATTGAGTCTTATGTACAACTTGGGTAATTGAAAACCATGTACGCGAGGTGACGAGTACGTACTTGGTTTATATGTGCAAATTTTATTGAGTTAAAGTCTTGAGCATATTGTGTAGTAAATTGGATAATTGTTGGCATATATTTTATCATCTACTTGTCATGCCTAAACCCTTGTTGTTGACTCTGTTGTTATATGACAATGTGATGTGATTGTTATTTGATTATTTATGAAATTTCGTAAATTTGCTGGCTTGATAATTATTAAAATTTAATTTCATTTTGGATTTTTCCATCTGCAAATAATTAATTAAATGAGCTTAAGAAGAGGTGTTTATATAATTATTAAAAATTTGATCTTTTATGAAGACTTTGCTTTATATTGAGTAATTTCTATCTCTATTGATTGTTTTTGGGTGTTGTACACATTGTGTGGAGCATTTAGCTATTTGCTGTGAAATTAATTGACTTGGTTGTAGCTTTAAAATTTGGTTGTGGCCATTGGGCAAATTGTGATATGAATTGATTTTTGTTATGCTGTTGTGATAATTTTCCGTGTAAATTATTGTATTGTGTGAGTTGTTATTTTGAGGAGATAAGGATGGCATTTCACCATTGATATTATGTGGTTATAAGGGTGGCATTTCACTAATGTATTTGTTAGCTATTGATATTGTCTGGGCGGAACGATAAGGGTGGCTATAGGAGCGATAAGGGTGGCTATTGTTAGGGACGATATGTGATGATGTGGGGTTGACAATTTTCACGTGATGTGATTTTTTTGTGTTTATTTTTATACCTTGTGCAACTTGTCTAGTTGTTAGTAAATTGATAATAATCTGATTTATGTTGAAATTGGGAGCCTGTGGCTATTGCCAGGTGGTTTATAAAATAAAATGCGGGCACGAGGTGCCGTGAATTGTGATATGAGATGGGGATATTGACACGTGAATTGTCCGTGCAGTTGTGATATAAAAATGTGGGCACGAGGTGCTGTGATGAAATGATAATAATATTTGGCACGTGAATTGTCCGTGCAGTTGTGATGTGAAATGAGGGCACGAGGTGACGGAAAAATATGATAATTTAATTATGGGCACGAGGTGCCGTGGAAATATAAAAATGGGCTGAAACCCGTATTACCGAAAAATATAAAAATGGGCTGAGACCCGTATTTTTGATGATTTTGAAATGATGTGTCACATGGTGACTTTTTAATTGAAAGAATTATATTTAAAATATTTATTTGGAAGGATTTTTACTTAGAAAGTATTATATAAAAGAATTGTATATTGAAAGATATTTATTTGAACAAATTGTATTTGAAAAGATTTATTGAAAGAATTATATTTAAAAAATAATTATTTGAGAAAATAATATTTGAAAGAGAGTTATCTGGAAGAACTATGTGAAATACATTTATTTGAAGGGCTTGATTT